ATATGTCAGGAGCCTTACCATAGAAAACCCTATATTGGATCATTGATAGTGGGGCAACATATCATATATCTCATTCATATATCTCATTGACCTCACTTACTTGACAAGAAATTCATGTTTGATTCTGTACAAATGCCGAATGGGGGAAAAGCCACTATAGAGTCTGTTGGTTCTGTCCAAGCCACTCCTCTTATTAAACTTGATGATGTGTTACATGTTCCAAATTTTCGAGTCTATTTATTATCTGTTAGCAAACTCACCGAGTCTCTACAATGCATAGTGATTTTCTTTCCCATTTTCTGTGTGATACAGGACATGGATACGAGGAGGAAGATTGGCCTGGGCAAGCGATATAATGGGCTCTATTACTTGTTGTCGGAACAAAATCCTCACCTTGCTCATAATGTTAACCATCATTCAAACCTTTGGCACCGACGCTTAGGATATCCCTCCACCGGTCCCCTACAACTTTTGACCAAGCAAGTTCCAACTATTATGTTTGATTCTAGTCATTCGTGTGACATTTGCCCTCTTGCTAATCAAACTCGTTTATCTTTTCCATCAAGTTTTATTTCATCTCAAGCACCTTTTGATTTAATACATTGTGATATTTGGGGACCCCATCGAGTCAATTCCCATTCGGGGGCTCGATATTTTTTTACCATTGTTGATGATTATTCCCTGTTTTACTTGGATTCATCTTATGCATTTAAAGTGTGAAACACAAAGGTTGTTATGTTCCTTTATTGCTTGGGTTCAAACACAATTTAACTGTATGATCAAGACAATTAGGGCAAATAACGAGGCTGAATTCACTTCTTTACGATCCTTTTTTGATAGCAAGGGTATTGTGTTTCACACTTCTTGTCCTTTTACTCCCCAACAAAATGGGGTAGTTGAAAGAAAACATCGCCATCTTTTAAATGTTGGGAGAGCACTTCGATTTCAAGCCAATTTACCTTTAACCTTTTGGGGATAAAGTGTTCAAACAACGTGTTATTTAATCAATCGCTTACCCACACCACTCCTTCACCACAAAACTCCCTTCGAGCTTTTACATCGTACACTTCCAGATTTTACTCACTTGTGTGTGTTTGGTTGCTTATGCTATGCCACAAATCTCACTCCCACACACAAATTTGATCAACGTGCTCGGAAATGCATTTTTGTTGGATATCCTTTTGGTAAAAAAGGGTACCGTGTTTATGACCTCACTACCCACAAATTCTCTACTTCCCGTGATGTGGTCTTTCATAAGGACACATTTCCTTTTATTTCCCTGCCACCAGATCACCAACCTGATAGTGTTGTCCTACCTCTACCCCTTGGTCCTACCATTACCCCGTCCTTATCACCTCATTCTCCAGACACCCGTATTCAACCTACCCCTACCACGCCTTTACCACCTGCCCCTACCACAAACCCCACCACCCTACCACCCCTCGACACCACACCTTCCCTCGACACTACACCTTCCCTAGACACCACACCTTCACAAGACACCCTCACCACCAAGCCTACTCTTTCGTCTCTTCCCTTTGCCAATCGACACTCCACTTGTCCCCCTAAACCCTCTGTGCGACTTCAGGGCTACCATTTATATCATGTACAATCCCTTGCTCTCGGTGCCACCTCCTCTTCCATGTCAGGTACATGCTACCCTTTATCTCACTATGTTTCTTATGCCCATCTTTCTTCTTCACACCGCTCTTTTGCTTGTGCCATTTCTACCATTGTCAAACCTACTACTTTTGAGCAGGTTAACAGTGATCCTCAATGGCAAGTTGCCATGCAATCCGAACTCCTTGCTTTGGAACAAAATCATACTTGGACTCTCATTCGCCTTCCTCCCGGTCATCGGGCCATTGGTAGCATCATATTGACTACTAGTAGTGCAGCAAACATGTTGACTTACCAAGCAATTCCTAGGCTGCTAAAACATGATTCCAATTCAAGGTAACAATCAAACATCTCAAATTTTTGGAATTCGGTCTTTCGCATGTTAACTATGAGATGTATATACATCAAGTTGATCAATTAGTTAATTACAATTTTGACCATTTTATAGGAAATAAAACTCGATGAGACTATGGTTTTCGTAACTGTTGCCAATGTCTGAACTAACCTTAAGATTTCTGATACTTGACCCATCTGAGTACATATTCTATGATGCTGGAACTGGTACCAGGACTTCAACCCTTAAGATTTAAAGATCTACCCATTAGCAACTTCGGAGGTTTGGATGACTTACTACAACTAATAGCAAAAATACACGATTCAAGGTCATCTTCAACCGTCATTTGGAACACCATGGACTGCCTTGAAAAATCATCGCTGGCACAACTTCAGAATGAGTACCAAATTCTATTGTTTCCTATCGGTCCTCTGCACAAAACTGTTCCATCTCCGTCTATAAGCTTGTTGAAAGAGGACCAGAGTTGTATGTCATGGCTCGACGAAAAAGCACACAACTCTGTCATCTATGTAAGCCTAGGAAGCATAGCATTAATGGACAGTAAAGAACAAGAGGAAATGGCATGGCAGTGAGCAGCCTTTCTTGTGGGTGGTTCGGACGGACTCCGTATCATTGCCAGAAGGTTTCTAAGAAATTGTGGGAGAAAGGGGTCACATAGTGAAGTGGACACCACAAAAGAAAGTCCTTGCACACAGCGCAGTGGGAGGGTTTTGGAGTCATTGCGGTTGGAATTCAACCCTAGAGAGTATCTCCGAAGGAGTCCCGTTGATATGTCAACCATATTTTGGGGACCAGAGAGTGAACTCGAGGTATTTGAGTCAAGTATGGGGAGTAGGTCTGGAATGGGATAATGATATGAACAGAGGACCAATAAAGAAAGCGATAAGAACACTGATGGTAAGCAAAGAAGGGGAACCAACAAGGCAAAGAGCAAAATATTTGAAGGTGAAAATTGAGCTTTCTATGAAGCAAGGTGGCTCTTCGTATAATTCCTTGAACGAATTAGTAGACCTTATCTTATCATTCTAATAATGTACATATTTTGTTTTGACAATGCGATATTATACACTACTTTCATTTACGGAAATAAGAATTTGAACTTAGTTGCAAAGGAACAAATATACTACTACAACCACTAGTCTAACCGACATTTGCAAATTTCATCATTCAAAATATTTTGTACTATAAACAAAGTAGATGAACGAAGAAGATACATAGTAGGTAAACACAACACCAATTCCACATTGCATATTACATTAGGGTAATGCTAAGGAGACCAAAATTTTAAACCAAATTTGCAAACTATTATATTAAGTATCACAAAAACATAGTGGCGGTGCTAGGATTTTAGCTTAGAAGGGGCCTAAAAGTCTCAATCCCAAACGCTTTCCTAGATCTTACAAAAATTACTCTGAAGTATGGTTAGCAACATACTACCATCGTTTGTACCTAGTATGTTTCCATCCTCTTCCTTAAACCAAAACCCCAAGCTTCTCTGACTTCCTTCCTCAGTCCTTCCACTGATCCCTAGACTAGAATCCTCCTCAAAACTCACAAGCAACGGATTGCCCGAACTTCATAAGAGTCACCAACCTCAAATCAAGCACGATGAAAGAAATTAAGTAGTAGAAGCGTCGGATTGAGGCCCCAAGTCTTTCAAAAAACCTTGAAAGTCATAACTTCATAAGCATAACAATAAACTTTTCTGCTTGAAAAAAATGGCATGCTAGACCTAAGAGCATCCTGGTCTTTTCATGGCTCCTCCTCCGGTAATACACACCTATAATATCAATATTATTTGTAGTTTGATATAAATATTTAGACAATCAAAATTTGTTGTTTAGTCGAATTGAGCAAAAGAGATAAATTAGGGTCAAATTTGAAATTTTCAGATGACAAAGGCTCATTCCTTACTTAGGGTGAAAAGGTAGAGTAAGATACTGTTAGCCAGTGAAAAAGAGTATCAAAGAGTGAAGGAGGAACTATTTTGTGATCATATGTGTAATCCTAGCTTATGAGTCGCACTAATTTTCTCTGTATCGTTCTAATTTTATGAGATGTCCATGAAGGAGATTTAATGGCTGGTTGCTCGCAGCAAATTTAAGAGAACATTCATGCTCGAACGATGAAGATCTTGGTTGTCAAATTGGGCTCTCATTTGCTAGGGAGTTCAGGTTTCAATTTGAGCTTTTGGAGGGAGACACAAAAGGGGTGATTGATTAATTACGATCTCTAACGAAATCCAACTCAAAGCAGCATGATGGTGTGATCAATGCTCACATTTTTGGTAGTGGTAATTCAATCCAAAACTTCATAATTTTAAGATGCAATCCAATTGTAGTATGGAAAAAATTCCAATTGTGGTATTTTGGATGTTGGAATCGGAACATTCAGTTCACTAAAACGACACTGTTAATTATATATAAAAAAAAAAAGATAAGGATTGAACTTTCCAGGTTCTTCTTTGCGATGGTGGCTCCACAAGTTAGGTCTATACCGAGCTTTGTCATGGTGGGATCTGCAAATCATGGTTGCCATATTGCAAAATTCATCAAAAAAATTCTCAGCGAAAACTCACGTATGACATATCATCTTAGTATGTTCTCGTAGTGCGCATCAATACGAATCCGTGAGCGCAAGCATAACAAAATTCAGAATTAAAATGAAGATTCCACGGAACTACAAAGTTTCCGGATAGTATGACAATTTTGTACTACCATGGCTGATTACCTTATGCTGTCAGTTTACCTTTATTTTTCATTAATATTTCAAATTATTTTATTTCTTTTCCTTTTCATTTTGTCTCTTTTTATTTAGATGTGTATTAAAAGTGAAAAAAATTAATGATATTCCTCTTTATTTGTAACTTGTAAGTAAGAGATCTTATGTTCAACTATTATCAAAAGCGAATTTGAACTATATTACTTATATGCATTATTAATGATATATAATGTCCCACTTCACGTACCAAATGCATTTTTAATGGTATATAATATCGTTTATCTCATAAAATAAAAAAAGGGAAAAAAATTAAGATCTAAAAAGTGGGAGAAACCCATCTTCTCTCCTCCTCCCGTATCCTCTTTTGCGCTGCAACAGCTCTGTCGTCCACGGTTCACCAAAGGCTCTCAAACTACACATCCAGAATGCTCTTGCCGTCCTTTATCCAATCCCCAAGTTAGTTTCTATAGATTCGTAGGCGACTTTCCTCAACTTCAAATTTAAGAAACGGTGACCCAGGGTTTTCCGGCCAACTTCCGGCCAATATCGCCGCAATTGGAGCTCGACCAAGAGGTAGAAATGATCCTCTTCTCGTGGGCTGTTCGCCAATGTAATTTCATTTTCCGAATTTTCAACTTTTAGTTTTGGGATTGATTCTTGATTTCGAATTTTATTCTATTTTCTGTATGAATGTCGGAGATGAGACTTATGGTAATTGTTGTATCTGTGAATCTGTTGAAACCCCTAACGATTACGTTCCCGGTTGATAGTTGAAGCATGTCTATAACATGGTGTGGGATTGAACTCTGTAGAACCTTGTATTGTTGTGAATAGGCATTGAATGAACACTTTTGCATAGGAACTATAAAATTCATGGAAAGAATGTGAAAATGTGGTACGAAATTAGAAAATGGGGGCCAAAATCATGTTATGATGAAGACAATAACTTAGCCTGATTCCTTGTTTATTGTAGTTGTATTCAGCAGCTTACTTTGGTTTTGAATTGCCTGCTGTCCAGTAGATGTTTAAGACTTAATGTGGAGGAAATTCTCTCTTGAAGTTGTTTGAACTTACCTATTTGGTAGACAAAGCTCCTCAAGGGAGAGCTAGCCGGAGGTGTGAGTGGACATTTATTTAAGAAATGTTTTTTTCTTTATCAAATATTAAGCATGCCTAGATAAATATGATTTCCGTTACGTTTAGGGGAAAACCAGATTTTATGAATTAATATCAGGCCTTATAGTGAATGATCATATTATTATAGTGTATCATAATATTATTTAGCTTACACATGATCAATATTACACGTGTCATTCTACCAGCATGTCATTCATCTTACACGTCTATGGTATTACAGAACTTTTAGCATTATAAATTGAAATGCAAATATTGGTAGCTAGAGACAACTTTTCCAAATTACCATAACAAATAAGCAAACACTAATTTAGAAACAAACAGTAATAATCGCAATCGAAATTTATAATACATCAAATAAGCAAACATAAATGGTATTTTTGGAATGAAATTCTGGTGCAACAAATGACCTTTTATTGGCTTGTACATATGATATGGTAAACGAATTGCTGAATCCACAACGTTCTGTAAACTCTTGTCCTGCATGCATTGGAGAATTTTAGAAATCACTGAAATTGGAATAAGTTCAAATGGTAATACTTATTGTATATGTGTTTCAGAATATAGCGGTTTAAGGACCAAATTAATTTTCAAGTCACTTAGCACTACGGTTATGTTTATTGTATATGTGTTTCTCAAAACGGTTATGCTTGTTGTAACAGAAAAAGGTTATTCCAATATTATCGTGGAATCTGATAAAGGTTTCTTGAGGCAGTTGCTAATCCGAAAAGCTTCTTCCATCTGAACTGCTATTGGGTGTAACTGTGTAAGACTTTTATTGGGCTTACATCTATTTAGGAGTCCTAATTGATTAAGGATAAAAGAAAGGAAGTAATATTTGATTATTCCGGATTACTTATGGTGAAGTATAGCAATAATTTTTGGGAATATCTATCCTATTAGGTCATGGGTTTTAGAGGTGCTAAAGATCTGTATTAGGGTTTTCTTTATGGGCAAGAAACCTAATACTCTCACCTATAAATATGAGGCTTAGGTCCCACTTTTATACACATTATTCTAGCACAAAACACTACCCCAGATAGAAGTGCACAAGGTGTGTAGAGAGAGGAAGATCTTTGCTTGTTCGTTGCTGATCATGGTTCAATCTTGTTCATATCAATGGCTTCTCAAGGTTAGTACTTTTAGAGTGCATATTATAGATCGACTTGCATTGGGTACCTTGAAAAAATGAATTAGGTAGCAGAATGTGGTTCGACGATCCTTATTGTTCAATTTTTAAAGTACTATCCATGTATGTATATATTCTATAAAACATGGTAGAATAATTTTTTGAGTACTTTATAGATAATTTCATCGGTTTTTACTAAACCTAGAAGAAGTTGGAGATGGAAACATGCTAACCTTTGTGTTTGATCAATCAATTCTGTTAGTCATCTTCATCCTCCCCAGAGAATTCGTCATCTTCATTTTCATCCTCACTGTACAATTCGTCATCGTTATCCTTCCTGTTTTAGAAATAAAAGACAGATGTTTTCTTGAGATAGAATTGAGTTTTAAAAAATAAAATTACTATACACTTTAGTGTGAACATATGCACATATATATGGTATTTGACTAAATTTTGAGAACACTTTTGTCAAACTAAATATGAACTGTTGATTATGCTTTAACTAAATTTGTAGTAAAAAATTTGGTGGTGTTTGCCATATTATGCTTGTAGCTCGAAACCAGAACGTATTTGTCGATTGAATAAATAGAAATTTAAGATTGAGCATATATAGCTCACATACTGTAAATTATCAACCTAGCTATTCTTCAGTCCTTCGTAAAAACATTAGAAATCCCACGCATGCATCATGGATCGAAAGAGTTGGAACAAACAGCATGAAGCATTACTGTAGTCTCTAAAAGTTTGTATATTGACGTAATTGTTTAGGAGAAAATCTTTCTTGGTTCAGTGGTTGTATATTGATGATGCATTCTTCCAGGTGGACACAAAAGTGACTGTAAATTAGAAACATTAATTTAAAGCATACCTTGTGTCATAAATATTCCTTAGAGTGGCATTGAGGTCCCCGTCCATTCCTGTCGAAATGCGGTTTTTACTTGCAATCGGGGATTATGCGTGTCAACATGCTTAGGATCAAATGGCCTTAAGTCTTGCACACTAATAACCTTCAATAACTCCAAAGACGGCAAGTTCAAAGTATAAGCTTCACCACAAAAATACTTGAGTTTTGGCAGCCTTATAAGCTTGATGGACTTCACTTTAGGTAATGTAATTATTTCAGCTGTTTCTTCTTCTGCGGCAACGATTTCTTCCATCTGCTCACAGTCATAAACTCTTATGTCCTCTACACTCACAAGAAGTTTGACAATGGACGAAGAAAACAAGTATTTCAACTGGTTGCAACGATGGACCTCCAACGATTTCAAGTTTCCGAAGCTGCTACCTGTGAACATCTGTTGTGAACTACCCGTCTCCCAAAGACGCGTTAAACTTGGCAACTTATATAACCATAAGGACCTCAATTTATTGAATGCTTCAAAGGAGTGACTACTTTCTTCATGCTTTGGTCCCTTGAGTTGGAAAATCACTTCCAATGATGCACAGTCGTGGACAAGAAGATTTTCGAGATTATCATCATCATTTGAGTCCTCAAGATTAGTTGGTGTAACCTAGAAAATTAAACACGATCAACAAGATGATACAATACTAATTAAAAGTTGTAATTGTAGAGGTTAATTGAACCTGATTTAAAAGCTTACCTCCAAATTAAATGGACGTGGCAATATTTCAATGGAGCGGTGTGCGTTTGCTCTTGAATCCTTCTCAGACTTATTCTCTAACTTCTTTCTTTGTGGAATTACAGCACCCAATGTCTTCAAATTTTCACATTCTTTCACGTGCATATTTTTTGCGGATGACCATAGAAATGTAAATCCCTCTGGACAAAGACTTGTGAGACGAGGCAGGTCTTCTAGTTCAAATGTGTTCAGTTTCGGAAACAAAATCATGTATTTTGTCGCCTCTTCTTCATTTTCCTCTGTGATTCTTACTATAGTTTCCATGTCCGGACATCCAGATATCTTTACCTCTTCAAGATTCAAAAGTTCTCGGGCAATTAAATGCGAGAACACATATTTTAGACCACGACATCCACCTACTTTCAAATTTCTCAAATTTCGGAAGCCTTGAAATCCAAACGGAATGTTTTTCCACAAGTGTGTAAATGAACCACCGGATATATCCAACTTACTTAACTGAGGAAATATTGGAGTTGTCTGCCCATCCATAACCATATGGATTTTCAGATCAAATAGCACGCCTTCAAACTTCATATGCTTCAATTGTACCTCTTCTAAACTTGGAAACCATGAAATGCACTTTGATGGAAATATTGCTTTTTCAAATATGCCTGCAGATTGATGCTCAACCCTTGCCGTTGTTTCCTGAAAAAGAAAAATCATTATCAGTTAAACAATTTCAAATTTCCACATATCGGCTGCCTCCTCATATCATAGAGTTGGAGAGTGGGACATACCTCTTGGTTGGAGTATAGCTTCTTGGCTTGGAAGAAATTAACCAAACTCTGTAGATCCCAGAGATACAATTTGGTTAATTTATGGAAAGATATCATATCGGCTTCCTCCTCATGTTCCCTCCCCTGCTTCGACACAATTTCTTCCATTTGATTACATCCACCAATATTAATTCCTGGAGTTGTACCAAGTTTCTCGCTATTGATAGTGAAAAGACATATTTTAAGACACGACAACTTCCTAATTCAAGGAATCTTAGGTTGGTCAAAAAGCTATCCGGAAGCTGGGTCGCACTTGTCCCATTTGCAAGATACTCGGTATTTGGACAATCCACAAGACGTAAATCATTCAAATCTTGAAATACCTCATGGTCTAAATCAGTGAGGACAGATAAATTCTTAACTTTGTGCAAATACAATTTTTTAGATTTTTTCAACAAAAGTCTAACTGCTTGACTCTCCAACTCCCTTGCATCACTTTCACTAATCTCCAAACAATTTTCGAATGCATAAGTACTCATCTCCGAAATATGCCCTCCCCATGTATCAAAGCATATAGCGAATCTTATTGTCGGGCTTTTCAAGACTATGTCTTTTGGAAACAAGTGGATGACACTGGGTATATTTATGGATAGAACCTTCAAATGATCGGACAGAGACATCACCTCAGAAATGCTTGCCATCCCCTTTTCTTCTCTTTCTCTTCCAATTTCCCATTTCGTAAAGCTATTAAGCATATACAACTCTTCAAGTCTACATAAGCTGGAGAAGATACCACGTGGAATCACCTCAAGATTCCTGCAATCTGTCGTATCTAACAACCTTAACTGTTTAAGTCGTCCAATTTCCCTCGGCAACTCACGCATGGAACGACAATCCCGAAAGCTGAGGATTTCTAAATTCTCCAAACTCCCAATAACATCAGTAGACATGCCATCAAATTTAGACCCATCTAGGCACAAGGTCCGCAGGTTCTTCAGTACTCCTAGTGATCTTGATGAGCCTAGGTCTTCCATTTCCATTCCCACCAAAGCTAAAACCTTCAGTTCTTTCATCGCATCACAAATGATGTCCATGCTACCTTTTGAAAAACGTCCTTTCATCGTCTGTAGAAGCTCAAGTTTTGGGCATTTCAAACCAACCGGAATCTCCAATTTGCCAACAAGTGAGATTGTAGTGTAATGGTCATACGTAGCTAAATTTGACCACCCATTATTTTCAGCATTACTTCTTATCAGAAATCCATGTGGATCTCTTGAAGCAATCGATATAGCAACATCGCGAACTATGTCATGCATTTTCGTATACTGAACTTTTTTTGTATACTTACCCTTGCCACTATCCAGCAACAAAAACCTTCTTTTTAGTTGGCCAACCAAAGAATGCACTCTATTCTTGCATCTTCCAAAGTAAAGCTGCTGCTAAAATATTCTCGACCCCACCCATATCGAACCAAGTACTCAATTGGAATATCATAATCTTCTGGAAATAAACAACAAAGTAAAAGACATGACCTGGCTTCATCACTCTCCAATCTATCATAACTCCATTTTATGCTAGAATAAACTTTGTCATTCACTCCAGGGATGTTCACTGGGGTAGAATTTCGCAACTGATTAAGGGCATCATCCCATTCATGCTTGTTTTTCTTTTCTAGGGCTTTTCCAACAGTTACAATTACAATAGGTAAACCTCCACATTCCTTCAATACATCTTTTGCAGTGGAACGTAAATCAGGATCATTAAAGGATTCACCCACCATTTCTCGAAACAGCTCCTCTGATTCTTCTGTTGTTAAAATCGGGACTGCAATAATTTGTTGACTTCCCATCCTGTTGCAAACGTCCGAATCTCGTGATGTCAACAAAACTTTGCACCCTTTATGAGCATCTCCGTAAGGAAGTCCTATAGCCGCAAAACCAAGCTCTGTCCATGCATCATCTAATACAATCAGGATCCTCTCTATGCCCATGAGTCTCCCATGTAGCCTTCGTGCTCTTCCGGACTCAGATTCCTCCTTAAATTGCAAACCTATTTCGTCTGCAATTTCCGACTGGATAGTCCTAATACTTGGACTTTGAGACACAGTTGCCATTACAATTTTATCAAACAGGTTCAGTTTTGCCAATCTTGTCATGATTTCTTTTATCATTGTGGTTTTACCCACACCCCCCATTCCACAAATCCCGATCATACGTACTTCTTCCCTCTTCAAACCCTCTATCACCTCATTCATGTTTGCCTTTCTGGACTGAAAATCCTTAAATCCTTTTTCGAATGTTGACCATATCGCTGGTGGAGGTGCAGGATGGGCCACATTTTCAAATGTTCCTTCGTTTTGGAGCTGAAGAACTTCTTGTTTAATCTTATAGGCTTTCCGACTCAGGCTCCATTGACACACACATCGCTTGTTAATTTCAACCTCAAACTGCAACACTTTTTTGACCATGTCGTCGTTCACATTCTGTAGCCAACTCTGAACATCAGGTTTGATGATTAGACCGTTCCTTTTGGCAGCATCTACCAATCCCTGCACTCCATTTTTCTTGTCAAAAAGCTTTTTTGTCTCGGCCTGAAGACTTTCAAGGTTGGAATGGTAATTAAACAAATAGCCAAACTCTCTTCCTATCGGTTTGACCAAGTACTGTCCAATTTTTGAGGCAATTGCAATTATAATTTCCATTGCCTTCTGAAATCAAAGACTACGGCTGTAATGCTCCTCTTTGTTGGTAGCTTTTGTAAGTCTCGTGCTCAGTGCTTGCCTAAAACAAAACAAGCAACACAACATTAATAATCAGATATTTTTGTCATGTTTAAATCTAGGTTGTATTTTTATTTTATGGAAAAAAAAAATTGTGTGCTGACGCTTTTATAGTATTTGAATATAAGATCATTGTATGTTTAAAGGTTAATCTCAATTTACTATCTTGAAGTTTCTTGGTTTTCAACATTTCATACATTAAGTTTTTTTCGTTCCAATTTGGTACTTAAAGTTACACTTTCATATATATGTTTAGATTTCCATTAGAATCTATTTTAACTGATGACGTGGTGCTTATGTGAACAATAACTGGACGCCACATGTCAATATAGGCCGACATGAATATTCAAAAAAATAGAAATATAAAAATACTAATAAAAATTTATAAAAAAGAAAAATCCCAAACCCTATTGTCTTCCTCACAGTTGCCTTCCTCACCATCATCGCCCAAATTCAGACCCCCCAAATCCAAGCCCCTCCTCCTCCTCACCTGGCCTGCGTTCCACCCCTGCCTCCCAATGCTCCCTCCTCCTCAACTCCGTCCCCGCCAAGCCCGACTAGTGGACCTATTCCTCAACCTAGGGGTGAGTTCAAAAAACCGAAAACCGAAAAAAACCGACAACCAAACCGAACCGAGGCCGAAAAAAACCGAACCGAAAAAAAACCGAACTGAACCGAATTTGGACAGTTCGGTTTCGATTTTTGAGGTTCGAAAACCGAACCGAACCGATATATATATTTAATTATATTTTCAATATTATAAATAGTTTAGTCATACAATCATAACAAAACAGAATATGTTGCCAAGTTGGTTTAAGTGAAACTTTTCACGCTGGAGGCAATGGGTTCGAACCCTCCTGCCTTCAGGATTTAAGAGTTTTTTTTTTTAATTTTGTTGAGAAATCAACAAAATCCTTTAACCCTAGCCACTAGTAGTAGCAGCCACACTTTTCTATTTTTCATTTCTTCTCTCTCTCGTTCCCTGCCTCTCCCTCCATGAACCCTAACCCAGTAACCCTCTCGCGCCGCCTGAGATTCCTCTCTCGCTTAGTCTTCAACTTCAATCGCTCTATCTCTCTCAATCTCTCAGGCAACCCGCGACAGCGCGACCCTTCTCACTCTCAATCTCTCACACCGCGCCCTCGTCGTCAGTCTCTCATCTCGCCATTTCGAGTCTCGACAGCAAAAGGTTAGCCTCATCCTCTCTCTCTCTCGGTCTTCAACTTCAATCACTCTCTGTCTCTCTTAAACTCTTTGTCTCTCTCGGTCTTGAATCCCAGGCGACCCGCGACAGCGCGACCCATCTCACTCTCAATCTCTCACACCTGCCCCTCGCCGTCAGTCCTTCATCTCGCCGTGAGCTTCTTCTTGCCGTTTCGAGTCTCAACTGCAAAAGGTTAGTCTCATACTCTCATTTCTCTGTGTTTAATTTTTTGTTTGTCATGTTTGAGTGTACTACCAGTCCACTATAGGATTCCCCTCCATTTTTACATTCCTAAATTACTTCTTACTGTTTTTCTATATTTTGATTTTTTCTGGAATATTGTTCGTTCGCAGACGGAAGCTCTCTACTCCAAACTCTACGAAAAGTACACAAAAATCAAGGTGTTCTGTGTTCTTTCCCACTTCTTTACAATTTTTTTTGCTCATTCATTTTTTTGCTTAATCAGTTAATTGTATGTTAAATTTGCTCAGGGGAGAAATTTGAGGTTAGGGAAATAGAAAGTAATTGTCCTTTTGTACTTCTGAATTTTGGGTATATTGTAAACGTATTTGTAAGGACCTACGTGCTGCCTATACTTTGATTTGGATATTTCTATTTAATCTAAATATGTTCTGTCGCCCTTTTTTCCTAATCTGCGGTGGTTGTTATGCCATGGCAGATGAAGAAATGGTCGGAGTTGGATGAAATTGGTAGAGAACAAGAAGAAAAGTTCAAGTATTATGAATCTGGTATTTCTTTTCCCATAACTATGACTACAGCTCAAATTTTGTTGTTTATTTACTATCTTGCAGTTGCAAAGGAGTAGATACAACATTTGCGAAATCAAAATGAGAGGTTGCACTTGGAAGTTGATGAGCTGAGAAGTGAAGTGGCTTCAATTAGGCATGAAATTCTAAGTTCTGTTGGATCCATTAGAATTCCGATTAGGAGATCAAGATAATGGTTGCATTGTTAATCTGCTATGGTATGATAGTCCCGAAGAGGTTTCTGGTGGATCAAGTTCATGTGCTTCAGACATTTACCGATTAGGGGTTCTTTTTGAGGTTCATAAATAAAAGCTTTCAATTGTTTATCTGTAGTATAAGTTAAATAAGATCTTCAGATGCATTCAATTATCGTTTTATATAAATGGTAAAAGATGATTTTGTTCGGAGTTGTTTTGTTTTTGTTTTTGATTTTGTGGACTAACGTGGTTGTGCTTGTGACCAGTTATTTTGTCCATTTAGCTCAAGAGAAGAAAAAAGCAGGACAATGTCTAGTCTTAGACATCAAGTTCTTCCTCCTCAATTGCTGCTGAAATGGCCGAAAGTGGCTTCATTTTGTTTATGTCTACTGCACCCTGAGCCAAATAGCCGGCTAAAAATGGGGTGAATACTTCTTACAAAATGGCCTTCTATCTCAGACTTGGATTTTTCTTTTCAAAAGTTATATATATTTAGCCTAAAAATACGGTGCATAAGTGCCAATATATCTTGAAAGTGAAATTCCATGCCCAAAGAAGCCCGCGCATGTCAAACTTAGGTTAGGTCAGTAGGAAGGTTGATGAGCTCATAACGGTTGCATTGTTAATTTGCTATGTTGCCTCCTAGGCCTTAAGCGTTGAGCTTGAGGAGTTGAAGAGAAGAAGTGCGTAGAAGACATGAAATCTTGAAGGTTTATTTGAGTTTATAATTTGAGTTAAGTGGAATATTTCTGTAAAATTTGGACTTTGTTATGTTTATTTTAGGTGTGGAAGACTTAGTGTAATGTTTATTTTAAATTTGGACTTTTTGAAGACTTAAACTTTGATATTTTTTTAAGTTTGGACTTTGGAAGATTTAATTGATGATTCTAGTTGAACTTTAAATATTTATTTTCATTGTGTAGGAATGCTTATGTTATGATTGTGTTAGAGATGTTAAAATTTTAGATTTTAATTTTTATTCAATTTCAAAAATAAAAAATAAAAAATAAAACCGAACTGGGCCGAAACCGAACCGAAAAAAACTGAACCGAAAAAAAATCGAAAAAAAATTGAACCGAACCAAAATTTTGGTTTGGTTTCGGTTTTGGCAAAAAACCGAACCGTTTCGAACCGAACCCAGCCCTACCTCAACCTCTTCTTCTTCTTCGTTGATCAACGGTCAGATGATTTCGCGCTCCTGCTCGCTCTCGGCCTCCTCGTTTTACAACTCTGGAGGTGGACGTGGGTCTGATCCATGACGCTGAGTCACAGCCACTCCAATTCAATGCAGTACGGTTCGGGGGGCTTACACTGCTCGCTCGCCGGTCGGGTTAGAAATTCTTGGTACTAAGAAAATATAGAAAAAACTTTTTCACCATTTGGGGATTAAGAAAAACCCTCATTTTTTCTCCCTTTTGGTGATTTTCTCTTCTGAATATTGAATTTCCATCTGGGTTTTGGAGGAAAAACCATTTTTTTAATCCATCTATGCTTCATTGATGCTTCCTCCCTTGAGGTTCTTTTTCCTTTCACTCCTTGTACTCTTTGTTTCCCAAAAAATAAAAATTACAAAATTTGCCCTGAAGAAGTTCCACTGAATCATTGATTGATTTCACTCCTTTGTCTCACAATAATAGTAGTGGCAGTCCTCTGTCTCTGATAATTGGAAGGTAAGAGTTTCCTTTATTTTATTCTATATTAGCATATGAAATTCGACTTCTTGATGTTTGAAGTTTTGGACCTTCTGGTTTGTGGGATATGCAATTTGGGTGAACTAAGGACATGCAATTTTGGGTGGGTCGGGGAAGTAAAGAGAGAAAAGTGGGAGGCATTAGGGGAGGGGTGTCGGAGAGGGAGGGCGAAGTTTGGGATTTGATTTTTAATTTTTAATATCCATGTGGGCGCATATTCCCCCTCTCTATCCCACACGCATTGGGTAATTACTTTCTCTTTGAAAATGACTTGTCTTTCTCTTTTTAGATTCCACCTTCTAGTCTTTGGACACTTCAAGGTCTTGTTCTTTTTACTCTCTTTTGATATGTACATCCATCACCAACAAGCGATGTTGATTAGCCAAGCACTCTCCCAGTATAACTTTGCAATCCTTGCAAGTTATACGATCCCCTTTCCTCCTCGTTAGAATAAAATCTATTTGTGTTTTTGATGACCCATTCTTGTAGGTTACCACATGTTCTTCTCCCTTCTTAAAGAAGGTGTTGGCTAAGAAGATATTGTATGCCACTGAAAAATCCAATATGACTTCCCCATCCTCATTTCTCTCCCCAAAACCATGGCCTATCCCCTTGCCCACGTGTCCATTTAAATCTCCTCATATAAATACCTTCTTCGTCTAAGCGATTCATTGCACCAAGTCTCTAAGATCTTCTCAAAATTTCTCCTTCAAACTCGTTCCAACCTTACTTGAGGTGCGTACACACTAATCACATTGATGAGTTCTTGTCCTATTACAATCTTGATTGCCATAATTCTATTTCCTACCCTCTTGTCCACGATAATGCCAACATAATTTCTCGTTCTATTTGTGCCCGAATACCAAAGTTTAAAACCTGAGTTTTCAAGATCATTTGCCTTAAGACCAACCCACTTAGTTTTATGTAGGCACATAATACTTATCCTTCTCCTCACCATAACTTTCACTATTTCCATAGATTTTCCCATTAAGGTTCTTATGTTCCACGTTCCTAAACGCAACTCTCTTGAACTCTCTACCCTCTTGTCCTAGCTTTTTCACCACCCCCCGTCTAATAAGGTCAAAGTTGATAGGAGCAGATGCTTCCAAACAACTTTGAGTGAAGTCGTTCAAAAAGAAGTTTTTATGGCCCCATTGCTCATTTAACATTGCATCCAAGCGCCGGTGGAGATACAGCGACCCTTGCTCACTTATCATTGTGCTCAGGACACAACGCACCACTTACGAGTAACGACCTAGCTTTAGAGCAATTTCGTTCAGGATTCATTATCGTAAGGTTCGACGTAAAATAGAAGTACCAGTTATCAACTACCTAGCGCCCTCCCCTTCCTCCTTTATCTGGGCTTGGGACCGACAATGTAAGATAAACTTACACAGGCGGAGTATTCGGAGTATAAGACCCGGGAAAGAAAAAAAAGACGAGTTCATGGACCTACACAAGGCAAAATATCAGTAGCTAAGTACCATCAGAAGTTCAGCGAATTGTCCTGCTATTGTCCAACAATCGCTACCAACCATTCAAAAAGGCTCCACCAGTTCAAATAACAAATCCGCAAGCAATTTTGTTTCTTTGCAGCATCTACACCATGTACGACATCCAAGGAATTCTACAAGGCTTTACTTTGCGTTGATAATTCTGATAATGTCTAGAGTGACAATGTTAATGATGAGAGTGGTAGCACTTGACAAAAGAACACTCGTGTTCTTTTTAAACCCCACAGAACCAATTTTTCAAAAGAAACAGCTATAATTTCAGATCTTCTAGTGGAGAATCGAATTCCAGTAAACCCGATTTTGGAAGTAAATTGGGAGGCTTCTAAATTCCACCCTTATGGTAGTTCCAGTAACACCGGTGCAAGAATTGCTTCCGATGCAACACCCCTCATTACGACAGGTATAAGAAGGAAGTATAGGTTGTCACATATGCGGTCAGCAAGAATACTAGGCTACCAAGTGTGCCCCAAAACAACGAAATCAACTCATAAGAGCATTTCCCTATCAACCAAACTTACTCATAGGAAGCAACCCTCATCAACAGCCCACCCATGATGGTGTTGCATTATCCACTACCAAGTTTAGTATCTATGAGTTGTCAACCAGTATCCAGACGGTATGGTTCCTTCTACTAGAAATACTACGTAGTACCAAGAAGTCATGCCTTAGGACTAGGATACAGGTGGTATGGAGATGGACAATACCATAATACCAGATAAGCGTCAGGTAGCGACGCAAAGACAAAAAAGGCACATGAGAGCTCTGTATGCATACTTGTTCTTCGAGCAAGATCTTGTATGTATGATATGAAATTTTAGGGACAATTTTTTTAAAGAGGTAGATTGTTACGTCTTGTCCTTTGTATTTTATTCTCTAACGTTGTAAAATTACGAAAATGCCCCTGAAGGGCTAAGTGAAAATTCTACATTGACATTTGAGTTCTTTTCACTTTTGTCCATGTTCTGCCGTTTTGAGATAGTACTCGTCCTTACTAAAGAGTTGCACATGTTTCACGAGGAGGGGCAAAATGGTTATTTTGCACCCTCAAGACTTCACAACTTGTTTTCAAGTGTCAGTATCATAGGTTGCAGACTGTTATAATGATGGTTTACTCGTTTCGTTGGACTTGTTAAACAATTGGGCAAGTTGGTCCATATGTTTTATTATTTTCTAATTAGGCATAATGCCTAATTAGTTTTTTTATTTGGGGTTGACCTAAACACACACACAAAGTGAATAGACCCATCCTTTTAGCATATCCTCGTAGTGCTCATCAATACGAACGAGTGGGCGCAAGTGAAACTGAATTCGGACTTACGATGAAATTTCTACAAAAAAAATAGAACATCAAAGGCAATTTGGTATATTTGTTTAGATACATTTGTAATTGCGCCTTTTTTTTATTGAGTTCAACACGTTATTGTTATTATATATGTGTCGTAATCCTCACACATTTTGAAAAGGGAAAAACTAAACCAAAAGCAATCCTAATTTCATGTATATACCAAAAGCAACTAAGGAGTTTAAAAGGAAATTAAAAAAACGGATGAAATCCATAGTATCGTATCATTATATTACTAATATGCAATGAAATCATGACATTAAATATTGTGTTCAATCCGATATAAGTTATTAGGTGTATTTTAGGCATCCAAAAATACAAAATTGTGCAAAAGTCAAACTTAATTAAGAAAATTTCTGAGTTGGAGCCTTGTTATTAAGTTTTTGCTAGGAGAATATACTATGGTGGGTTTTAGTTAAAGAAAATTGAACTTTGAGGGTACAATCATATTTTCAATTGATCATTTTAGTGCATGTGTATATTTATTTTATCATTATTATTTTACAGTATGCAAATTTTGAATAGTTTACATTTCACCATTGCATCACAGAAGCGATTTCAAACTTTCTATATAGCATGATAAACATAACACATGCATTTGTATGGTCCCCAAACTCACTGTCACATGATATTTTTATTTGTTCATTTCTACTAGCGACCCCAATCCATATTTTTTTTTTCGGTTTAGAAAATAATAAAATTTTGATTATAAGGGGGATTAGCTCACTTTTAGTTGATTATCTTTTAATAGGTGATGGTTTCCTTAGGTTTGTTAGTATTGGAGCTCAGCTGAAATATAGTATTTGGTGGGTACTAGAATGTAAAATCAACACTTTTATTTCTTGGATAGGTAGAGTAAAAACAAACGTCTAAAACAACAAATATTGGAATGAAATAGTTTTCGAGAAATATGTAGTACCTGTATTGTAAGTCAACACAATACAACTGTCCAGAGTAAAAGTGAAATTATGAAATTTATGCCTTGTTCAACACCAAATCATATGCTTGGAACTGGAAGTGGTGCTTCACAAACTTTGACACATCCCAACCGAAGTCAAGGCGTACTAGCCGACATCTGGAAATTGACGAAAGTCATAAAGTATAGATGATGAGCACAAATTTGAATAAATAAAACCAAAGCTTATGTCATTTAAACTAGTAGTGAGGGTGCACTGTGCAAAATGTACCCCTTATTCACATTCTAGGTGGGAAAGATAATTTTACAAACTATAAGATTAGGAATTACTACATTCACTATCAGACTGCTTTTTTTTTTCCAAAAGCACTTTTACAATAAAGTTTACCAAACGCTCTGCTGATTTATTTCACAACCGCTTATTCTCACAGCACAGCCGCTTATTCTCACAACAGTTTTTTTTCAAAGCACAGCAATACCAAACCAGCCCTTAAACCAATAGTGAGGGTGTGCTGTGCAGAATGTACCCGTACTACATAAAAATACATTATTAATAGTCTCTCAACTTTAATCCAACTCGAGAAATAGTCCCTCAACTTTAATCCAATTGGAGAAATGGTCCCTCAACTTTAAACCAATTGTAGCAATGGTCTTTCCAACATAACTCATTTTGACCAAATTTTGATGAAGTTAAAGAAAATGATCATAGCTACACATTTTGATGAGTTAAGGGACCAATGGTAATGGTTTTTTAATTGAAAGACTATTGCTCCAATTTGACTAAAATTGAGGGACAATTGCATAAATTTACTCTATAAGTTATTAGCAGTTTGTAAAAAATAAAAGTTATTAGTTATGATCACATTAAGTATGGCATTCCCTAGTTTAAGTTGGATATGTGATGTTACCTTTCCTGAACATGATCGGGTCTTTTACTGGTTACGATTTCAAAGGAACTTTATTTCATATCTTTTTCTTTCTATTTAGGCCACTCTCACAAATTTCACTGTGTTTTAGGAATGATGCAATTACGTGTTTTAGTTGTATTAGAACTGCGTTTTTTCATCTACTTTTTACCAGGTTCCGGTCGCGGGTCGCCGGATTATGCAGTTTATCACCGGTTTTCTGGGAAATTTTTAAATCATCATAACTTCCACATATCTCAACTAAATTGAGTGATTCAGAATGGAAAGGATACCTCGGAATGAGATGAACAAATTGGTACGGCTAACTCGCCGTGATTTAGCCAAAAACACGCCGGAAGGTCCCTGAAATCGACGGAAACTGAGGACAATTTCAAAAGGTCATAACTTGCTCATTTCTCAACCATTTTTTACGTTCTTTATATGGAAATGAAGCACAAGGAACAAGTTTATACCTCTTGGAACTCCAAAAAGCAGACGTGTACTGAAATTGGCCTGAAAGTCTCCGCAAAAAAACCCAAAGCTTCGAAGCCGGGTGTTTTCGAGTTGGGGATTGCCTCAAACTTGACCCAGTGACGTTAGGGAGTTCTGTGGTGGCTTCCAACTCTTCCAATACGGTGTGGAGCGGTCGGAAAAGTGTCGGGAACTTCGTCGGGAAGTTTCTTTCTCGTCGGAGCTTCGAGCTAGAGCCTCTAGTTTCGGTTTCCTACGAAACGGAGCTCGGGTTCGAGCTCGCGAGGTCAAGAGGGTGGACGTGGTGGTGGTTTGAGCGTTGATTCGTCGAGGTTTGGTGACTTTTGCTGCGTTACAGAGAGAAGAGAGGACGGGAGAGTTTTAGAGGGAGAAAGAGAGGTTTGAGTGAGTGAGAGAGATGTTACAGGGTAGGAGGACAACACTGAGAGGAGAGAGAGAGAGAGAGAGAGAGAGAGAGAAAAAGCAGAGTGCAATTGATTGGTGGGGTGACTTTCCGTTACGGGACAAATTTTCAAAAGCTAATAGGTAATTTCTCTAACAGTGTCTGCCGACACTATCTTTTGTGCACACGTGTGAATTTACACAAGTATACAAATTTATTGCTTGTTATCAAATTTTAAATTGTTACGAGTCTGATTTGGATTTAGTTTATATTTACATTCTTAACGATGAGTACTCAAATATATTAAAAAATGAGACGAATTACGCATTGGCTCAAACGTCCATGTAAAATTCCGTTAAACCCAACAAGATCAGTTTTGTCATTTGTATACATGGCTCGAGCCATTCTCACTCTCTCGTGGCATTACAATTTACATCATATCACGGTAGAAGCATCGCAATTAGAGTTGCGTATTTTTTTTATCATTGTGTAAAAATATCTCAAAAAAAAATTTATTCTTTTGTTTTCGGTCAAACAACTAATTTCATTAAAGATAAAACAAATTAAAGTATAGTTTGTTAAAAGCATACTAAAGTAAGTGTGCAGTTATTTCCAAAAGTAAAGTAAAGAGGCAAGCCCAAAAGTAAGGTAAAATTTATTCATTTTGAGATCGTTAGTCACGCAAATTGAATGAACAATTTTAAAATAATGATACTATCAACACATTTATTTTTACTTTTAACACATCTTTGCTAATTTTTTTATCCTTTAAAATAATGTTTTTTAGCCAAAATTAAAACTACATAAGTAAATGCATCAAATTAACAATGCAACTGCTATAATTGTACTCTTTGCATATCTCAATACATTCAACGCACACATTCTCGCATGGGATTGCTCTCGTGACTCACTCATAAAGTAATATTTTACACTAATTTAGTTATACACAACATCCAATTCGACATTACATATGATATTAATCTCAGCTAAAAGCATAGTAAACACACACATATCTCATACATTTAAATCATACAAATAGACAAACTTTTCACTTTCTCACACACCAAACAAAAAGTGATTTAACAGAAGAAAAATCTCACAACATGACAAATTTTTAAAAGCTAACAGATACTTTAAATAAATAATGAAGTCTTTATGTACTGTGTGATGTAAGAGTGGTGGTTGTTATCATTCAATCAATAATGATCCATTTTAGATGGATAAAGCATCTGATACAAAGTGACGAAAAAAGAATGGGGCCCGTTATTTGTGCGTGCAAGCTGGAAAAAGAATAAAATATTTAAAATCATTTCTATGTGTAGTGAACGATTATGATGAATTGATATTTCACGCAATACTCAGAGAAGGATTCGGAAAGGATAATGGTTACAGTTTCTCACATGCACACTCTGTGAATTTCACACAATTTTGTGTACATATTTACCCGTTTATTAAACGAGTGTAGTTTTTTTGTTACAAATTCAATTTGGGTCTAGTTTGCACTCACGCGTTAGCAACGATGAGTACCATCTCGATATACTACGAAATGAGACAAATTAAACACTGGCTCAAAACGTCCATGTGTCAGCTGAACCCAATAGGGGCATTTAAGTCAATTCTCACTTTCAAAATTAAAATTCGATAAAGTCGGAACGGGTTGTCACAAACTTGTTAGAGAATTTAAATGTTGAATGCTATCATGGACAAGGACATATTATGTTTTTTTTGGAAATAAGGACATATTATGTTACCTCACCAATTAGAATACACATTTTGGTTTGGTGCATCATTTCAGTGTAAATTAGATAACCAAAAGGATTCAGTTCGGTTTGGTTTCAAACTTTGGCTTGGTGCATCATTTTGCCAAATTAGCAACTGAAGTAAAGAGACAATAGATTTCAGAATGATCATTTGCCATCTCTACAAGTGTAGAATGCAGATCGTGAGCAAACTAATCAACGTAAAACGCACACTCATTCTCCTTCAATTCAATTGTGATTCAGTTCAACTGTATAGCTCTATAATTTTCCGATACAAAACGACATATAATGCCAAATACTAACTGCAAAATGCAACCTATGGTCATCCATTCAAGTACATTACTTCTCGACACTAACAATATTCGAATTCACGTAAGAATGTAAAGACGCGCAACTTTTATATTATCGTGATATAAAAGGCCACCTTTATTGGATCTGCTAACATGATGGTACATGCCATTTCACATGTGGTTGCCGCCACCACTTTCTTTTCTTTTTCTTTTCTTCACGTGGCCACTGGCCACACTCCCCACTTTCTTTTTTTTTTAACCAAAGATAGAAATATATTAAAGACGAATATAAAGGTTTACATCCTTAGCAAGAAAATTAAACAGGAATTAAGGGCCAATACAATCCCAAGAAAAAGAGCGGCCCTCCTTAAAGGCATACTTAGCCACCGAGTGAGAAGCACGATTGCCCTCTCTAGGCACAAAAGCAAAAGAGACAGTCCTCAGCTTATGCACTAGAACCTCAATGTCGCCAAGAATACACTCAATACTAAAATCTACAAACACTTCCTTCTTCAGCATTTTAATAACCAACCTTGCATCAGATTCAATGATGATGTCATTAAACCCATGTTCGATACAGGCCAATAGAGCATACCTGATGGCAGAAGCTTCAGCAGCCGCGGCACTATGACAGAAACCAGAGCCTATCCCCCCAGCCGCTTGGAGCAGTCCCGCAAAATCCCGACCCAGCCAACCCAAACCCATATGCATCGTATCTTTACACCAGGTCGCGTCGGAATTAATCTTAATAGTTCCGAACCTAGGTTTCTGCCATTTAGTACAAAAAGATTCTGAAGCCTTAATTGTCATCGGCAGCCTCGGTCTGTTGTCATCTTCTTCCCGCGCCAAACAGTCTTTGTACTCGCTAGTACTCTTCCTCCAGGCCTCCAAGATATCCAAAGGCTGGCGATATATCCCTTTGAATATCACATCGTTTCCGTTCTTCCACAATCTCCACATGCCAAAGGCAAATTCTTGACGGATGTCATCCGCATTATTCCTCTCCTTCACTTGAGCACAAAAGTTGCTCCAGCTTTCGAGAAAGTCACTTCCCTCCAGGGCGTGAGAATTTAGGTGCAGATGAGAACAAAACCAGAAGACATGGCTAAATTCACAACGGAAAAACAGATGGTTTTCAATTTCATTAATGGCGTTACAAACACCACAAACATTGTCAATTCTCATATGACGTCTTTTAAGATTCCTTCTAACCGCCAGAGCATTGTTGCAGCATCGCCAAATGAAGCATTTGATCTTATTTGGAACCTGCAGACTCCAGATATTATTCCATACCAGATTTAAATTGTTACTTTCACTAGGGCCACCGCGCCCTTTCCTTCCCAAAGAACCTTCTTCCATCAGTTTTAAAGCCAAATTGTACCCAGTTTTAACTGAAAAAATCCCATTGGTAGTGTAGTGCCACACCAGTCTATCATCTATGCCAGGGTGGCTGAGTGGAATGCTTAAGATCGGTAATACATCTTCCCGCTGAAACCCGAGCTCGATCAAGTCCGTTCGCCAAGAGTTAGTAACAGGGTCGATCAGGTCACATACCATTGTACCTTCCAGAATTGGTTTCGGGATGACTTTATAGGTTGAGGGTTTAGGGAGCCACGGATCCTTCCTTATGTTTATGCTTTTCCCATTTCCCACCCGCCATCTAAGACCAAGTTTAAGCACTTTCCGGGCTTCAAAGAGACCTTTCCAGCCCCATGAGGTATTCTTCCCTTTCAGAGCTTCTCCAAAACTTTTCCCCGGGAAGTATTTATCACTCAAAACCGAAGCTAGGAGGGACAAAGGGTTTTGGGTGATTCGCCATCCGATCTTGGCAAGAAGAGCAAGGTTGACACATTGGATGTCCTTGAATCCCATTCCACCAGCCTTTTTCTGTTTCATGAGACGATCCCAGGAGACCCAGTGAATGCCCTTACGTTGTTCATTACCACGCCACCAGTAATTTCGAATAGCTCTTTCAACATCCCGACACACTCCAATGGGGAGTCTAAAACAACTCATAGCATAGTTAGGCAAGGCCATAGCAACTGATTTCACAAGGATCTCATTTCCTGCCTGGGACAGGTACTGTTCAGCCCAACCAGACAAGCGAGCTTCAATCTTATCCCGGATTTCCGCAAAGACAGCTTTTTTTTAGTGTCCGAAATCGGCCTGCAGGCCAAGATATTTCCCAAATCCCTGATTACTCTGTATCCCCAGGGAGTTCACAATTTTGGCTTTCTGACATTTCGGGGTATTAGCACCGAAGAAGACCGAACTTTTGGCCATATTAATCATCTGACCGGAGCCCCGAGCATACATCTGTAGAACTGCCACTATGCTCTCCGCCTCCTCCACAGAAGCATTTCCAAAAACCACAGAGTCATCCGCGAACAGGAGATGCGTTATCGGTACACCAGTAGGAAATACCTTGAAATCGTGGAGGGCACCCCTTTCCAGGCTTCTCCTGATTAACATAAAGAATCATTCAGTACAGAGGAGGAACAGGAAAGGGGATAGGGGATCGCCTTGCATGAGCCCCCGATTCGGCCGGAAGAAACCCGTTGGGGACCCGTTTATGAGGACACTAAATGATACGGTAGAAATGCATTCCTTAATCCAGCTGCAGAAGATAGGCGCGAAACCCAGGCTAGCCATCATTCCCAATAGGAAATCCCATTCAACTCGATCGTATGCCTTGGCCATATCGAGCTTGATAGCCATCCCAGGTTGGTCTCCTTTATTCTGGTGGATTAAGGAGTGGAGGACTTCGTGCACCACAAGGATATTATCTTGGATTTGCTTCCCAGCCACGAAGGCAGATTGGTTCTCCCCAATCATTTTCGGCATCACCTTCTTAAGCCTATTAGTGAGAACCTTGGCAATAATCTTGTAGATGACGTTACATAAAGCAATAGGCCTATATTGCGTCATATTTTTTGGGCACTTCACCTTCGGAATAAGCACAACATTGGTGTGGTTGAGTTTACGCAGCAGGGAACCC